TAAAATTTAATATCCTATAAGTAATCATTAAGAGGTTTACTTTTATCAACAGGGATTAGGAGATACTTCCTGGAATAATCTTAAAATTTATACTAAATTTATTAATACGATCTGTGCTGAAAAATTACTTGATGTAGATTATTTTAGACTTATGTTAAGGCCTTAAATAACACTTTGTTGATCAAAATTAAGATCTTTAAAGAAAATCTCCTTTGAAAAAGGAAAAAAAATTCCATCTTGAGGGCTAGAGAAATGGCTCGGGTTAAGAGCACTGGCTGCTCTTGCAGAAGACTGGGGTTTGGTTCCCAGTACCCACCAGGTGGCTAACAACCCACCATTACTCTAGTTTCAGGGAATCCATTGCTCTCTTCTGGCCTCTGGTGGGCAATGCATGACATGGGTGCACCTACATACATACAGGCAAAATACTCATAAAATAAAAATAAATCAATCCTGTCATTTAGTATACCAAGTGTTTAACGTCTTCATAGTTCACAAAAGTTATTTAAAATAACTAGCGTAGTTACCTTTAATCCTCTTGCCATGTTCAGAGCGACTTTTAGAATCAGAGCTGCAGGAAAAGGCTTCCCAGTGTCCCTGTTTTGCTCTTCTATAAAGTCATTCAGAGACTTCTCACCTCCATACTCCATAGCTAGGCACAGACTACCATCACTGGCTTCAGTAAAAGCACGATAACCTTAAGGAAACATGACAGTCCTTTACTAAACTAGTGAAAAACAATAGTAATTAGGCTCTTTCAGTAACATAACCTGGACTTGGACTAACACTAGCAATGAAACAGCAAACTGCTATGTTTGCAAAACTGACCCAGTAGAAGGAATACCTTCAAGTGCTTGTTTGTTTTGTGAATTACATTTTTATTCTGTGTTGCTTTCCTAAATAGAATGATCTCACTAGCTCCATTTGTACTAAAAATTGAATAATGAAAACAACCCAGGAAAATATAATCCCAAATTATCTAAAGGAAGACTATTTTATATTCCTGAACTCTTTACAGTACCAGCACCATGCTGATTATCTCTTCTGCCAACCCCATGAAGGCTAAACAAACACACTTAAGCATCTGAAGTATGGTATGTCAACGTTAAGTTTATTCCCAAGAACATCCAGGCACATCTCTTTTGTTTGTGAAATCACTTAAGAGTGCATGTGATGTTTCTAGATATGTACAACACTGTAGGGTCACAGATTGCCACCAGATAAATTTAAACATACCTATAATGTTTGGGTGACTAAGGTTTTTTAAAATCTCAGCTTCATCAGTTAGTCTCTTCTGATAGACAGTTCGATACTGATCGTTACACAGAGGATTTATCTTTTTCACAGCCCAAGGAGAACGAGACAAACCTCGTGGAGATCTAAAAAAAAAAAAAAAATATGTGTGTGTGTGTGTGTGTGTGTGTGTGTGTGTTACTCAAACGAGTAACAAGAACTTTCAAATTTTGATTCCATAAAAATTCGTTTTAAAAATATATCTAAAGTATTTTAGATCATCAGCATCTGTTACAATTCTATTTCAATAGGAAGTCATACACCGAGTAACATCTGACATCTGAACTCTGAGAAGGGTTTAAAGGATAAAGGCAAAATATTATAAATTTTATAAAATTATAAGCTTTAAACTTGAAAACTGCTATACTGTTTTCTAATATTTCTATCCTATTTTCTCAAACATTTATATGTACCAGAGATGAAATTATAAGATAATTAACACTTAAGAAATTTAACTTTAGGAGATGGCACAGTGGTTAAGAGCACTGGCTGCTCTCTTACAGACCTGGGTTTGGTTCCCAAGACCTATACAGCAGCTCATAATCACCTGTAACTCTAGTTCCAAGAGTTCCAATGGCCTCTTCTGGCCTCCATGGGCACTGCAAACATGTGGTGGACATACATACATGCAGGCAAAGCACTCATGCACATAAAAACAAAAATAAATCTTAAGGGGCTGGAAAGATGGCTCAGCTGTTAAGAGTACTGGCTGTTCCTGCAGACGACCAGGGTTCAGTTCCCAACATACACATAGCGGCTAATGACTGTTGATAATTCCAGTTCCAAGAGATCTGATCCCATCTTCTGGTCCCCATGGCAATTGCATGCATGTGGTGACTTACTTACATTGTAGAGCCCTGAGACCCTCTTCATTCACCTGCTACCCCCCAATCCCTCCAAACCCCCACTAATTGCTCTTTTAGCTTCTGTAAAATGCTTGGCTGCTGCTTTAGACATGCCTAGGCATACCCTGGCATGCCCTGACCCCTGCCTGCTATTCCCCACCCCCCTTCCAGGAAACTATAGATTAAGCAAGCCCGAGCATAAAAACTGCCCTATAAGGTAAAAAACGGACACTCCTGGCCCCACAGGTAACAGTCAGCACATTCCATAGCCCTGAGAATAGCACCTACCAATAAGAAACTTCCAGGGCTGCATCTTATACATCCAATCGGTTTAAAATTATGTTGGCGTGCACGGGCTCCTTGAACCAACCAAAATGTATCTTCGGTATCCCCCCCCCCCTTTGTCTAAAACTATAAAAGCCTCCACTCTCCCTTACTCTGGGCTCTCAGCACGGATCTGTTGAGTTGGTGAGGTCTGAGAGCCCGAGCTTAAGCCTGAATAAACCATAAACCTTTGCTTTTGCATTTTGGTGTGTTGGGTCCTCGGTGTCTTTTTGGGGTCCAGTAGATGAGGTACAACAACATGTAGGCAAAACACTCATATGCATAAAATAAATTTTAAAACATTTTTTAATCTTAAAAAGAATTTTTGTTTTTTGAGACAGGGTTTAACAATGTAGCCTCAAGTTAGCCTGAAACTCCCTATGTAGGCAAGGCTGGCCTCAACCTTACAGAGATCTGCCTGTTTCTGCCTCCCCAGTGCTGTGATTAAAGGTGTGCACCGCCATGCCCAGCCTTTAAAAAGAATTTTTAAAAATGAAACGTAAGTTTAAAAGAGATGCTAAAAAATATTTGGTCCATATATAGTTATCCAAAGCCATCTCTCCAGTGCCATTTTTTTTAAACCAATGTTTTTTTTAGTTTTATTTATAGGGCTGGAGAGATGGCTCAATGGTTAAGATCATTGGCTGCTCTTGCAGAGGACCCAGGTTTGATTCCCAGCACCCACATGGCAGCTAACATTGGTCTGTAACTCCAATTCTAAGGGATCTGACACCCTCTTCTGGCCTCTGCATGACATGGGTGCACTTACACACATGAAGGCAAAGTATGTAAGTACACCCATGTCGTGTCGTAGACATGCCCAGAGGACATAAAAGGGTGTCGGATACTCTGGAACTGTAGTTATGGATGGTTTTTAGCCACCACGTAGGTGCTGGGATTCAAACCCAGGTCTTCTGTAAGAATAGCCAGTACTCTTAACTGCTGAGCCATCTCTCCAGCCTCCACACTATTTTTTTGTTTGAAAATTTCATATATGCATATGTATTTTGATCAAATCCACTCCCTGTTCCCTCCTCCCCAGCTTCACATGCTCTTTTTTAAATCTACTGAGTCCCCTTAGTGCTGCCTTTATGTACTGGAGCGTGGGCAGTGTCTCAGGACTGCATCCCTGAAAGAAACTGACTCTCCCTCCCCAAGCAGCTATCAGCTGCCAATAGCTCCTCACCAGCAGTCGGACTGCATGAGCCCCTCCCCACCCAAAGCATGTTGTTCTTCACCAACAGATACTTCAACCGCACACACAACGCCTCGACTACCTTTTCACCATACTCAAAGACGTCTTCTAGGATCTTTCTACTACTTCCCCTTCTTGCAGAAGCTAAGGGGAAAGGGTTAAGTTACTCCCCTTTAATAATCCAGCAGGAAGAAGCTGGAAGAAAAGTATGCCATGCAGGGCTCTGGCAGCACTCAAAAGTCCTAAGGACTGAACTAGAGCACTCAGGCATGACCAGGAACATTCCTAATCCAGATATCTGAATTTTCATATTCCTTTTGTCTCCAGGTACAGTGGAACTATGGTTCCACATAAATCAGAAGTCTTGCACTCACCTTTTCATTAGGTAAACACTGACCCCAGTCCCGAAGCCAAGCTTCTGCATAAATGGAGAGGCAGGGATGTTTACACATGGAGTTGAACACAATACTAAATGTCAAAAACAAAAGTCAAAAATTAGCATTTGAAGAGACCTCTGCAAAAGCATCTTGACACCCTTAAGATACTATAGGACAAGGATCAACATTATCTTTTTAGAACTCAATGTGACAGCTATCTATCCTACTTTAAATGGATGTTCTTTGACCAAGACTACTTTGAGAACTTTCATATATTGACAGTAAATAGCCTGTTTCTTACAGCACAGAAGCTAAGAAGTGTGTGCCTGTGTGTGTGTGAATGCCAAGGTGTACAAATGGAGGTCAGAGGAAAACTGTGGAGCTGGTTCTCTCCTCCCACCTTTACATAGGTTCCAGGCAGAACAAACTCAAGTAGCCAGGTTTACACAACAAGCACCTTTACCTACTGAGCCATCTCACTGACCCTTTTGTTCACATTAAAAAAAATTTTTTTATTATATGCATGAGTATTTTTGTCTTCATGTTAGTGCACCATGTGCATGCAAATACACGAGGAGGCCAGAGAAGGGCATTGGATTCCCTGGAACCAGAGTTACAAATGATTGCCAACAAACACGTAGGCATGGGACTCGAACCCAGGTCCTCTAGAAGAGCAGCCAGTGCTCTTAACTGCTGAGCCATCTTTCCAGCCCCTCTTTTTTATATTCTTAAATGGCTCTCTTTTTCACATTCTTAAAAATAAAGATTATAGGGGTTGGAGGGATAGCTCAGTGGTTAAGAACACACATTGTTCTTGCAGAGGGGAGGAGTTTGGTTCCTAGTGTTGGGGATCCGGGGACTTGAGAATAATTGGAGACCACTCACCAGTACTTAGAATTTGGTTGAATTTATTGAAAAAGTCCAATCCTAGAGCAACTAGAGTCGGGTGTGGACTCCAGAAGCCAAACTGGAGTCTGGCTTGTTTTCGGGCTTGAGTTCGGGCCCCCAGAATCAGCAAGGAAGAATTACGGCTTTCGCCCACCAAGCTGAACTGAGAGTCCCGAACCAGGCTTGGGTATGCTTTTTATAGGGAGGTTTCACAAAAGCCCACGTACGCCAAGCATCTTTCAAAGTGATTGGATGGTCCCATGCTCTGAGTACGGGGAAGTTTCCTATTGGTAGGGGCTGTCTTCAGGGCATTGGAATGTGCTGACTGTTATCTGTGGGGCCAGGAATTTCTGGTCTTTACCTAATACGGTTTTCACATGCTCCGGCTTGTTGAATCTATAACTTTCTGAGAAGGAGAGTTGCAACATGTCTGGGCATGCCCGGGCTTGCCTAGTCATAGCCCTCAGTATGCGGCAAGAGAAACTTACCGTGTCTAAGACTAAAGGTTTGAGACTGAAGAAGGCAGTTTGTGAGAACCGAGCCAGCACAATCTGGGCCCTTCATTAGCACCCATGTCACATGAGTCACTATTGCATATAACTCCAGCTTCAGGAACTCCAGTGTTCTCTTCTGGCCTCCAAGGGTATCCACGTGCATGTGGCATAAATGCACATATATACATAAATAAAAATATATTTAAAAATAAAGAATATATAACGAAGTCCCAATATGGCCCTCAAAGTCTACCAGGCATGTCCACCTTTTTGACACTGTGACACAATGTCATCTATAAGGATCATGTCTGAGAACTGTGCAATCTAGTTACCAAAAATAAAACAACACACGAATATGTTATAATGTTTTAAGTAAGTCTACAATTTTGGGTCAGGCCACATTCATAGCCGCCCTGAGCAACATGCAGTCTGTGGGCTGCAGTTTGGACATGCCCAGAACTATGTTCTACCTCTACCTTGGCCTTTTACAAAATGTCTGTCAACCCTTGCACCACAGCATGTGCCCAAGAAGACCACACACGTCAGGTGCATATACACATTTAAATACTGGAATTTGCCTTTGCAACTGAAAAAACAAAACAAAACAAACCTAAATGTGCTGCAGAACATTTTATAGAGGAGTTCTGCTTCTGAGCATGAATATTAATTCATTGCTCTTGGAATTGCTATCTGATTGTGAACTGGAAAACCTGGCAAAATGCAACTGGATTTCAGATACTTGACCAGAGGCAAAGTAGAGCTGTGATCTCCGAGAAAGAGAAACCAATGAAGGCCCACCATTGCCCTGTGGGACTTCAAGGCAGTTCAGGTTTAAGCTCAGAGGAAACAGCCCAGCAGTCTCGTCAAACTGAGTAGACAGAGATCGGCAGTCCTGGAGGACCAGGTAGCTGGACTGTTCGCGGCAGAGAACAGAAGGGATGGTGTTGCACGCCTTTAATCCCAGTGCTTGGGGCAGAAGCAGGCGGATCTCTGTGAGTTCAAGGCCAGTCTGGTCTACATAGAGAGTTCCAGGACAGAAAGGAGACAAGCTCAAGCTTGATTTTACTCAGGGATAAATGATAACACTTTCAAACAAAGTAATATTCTTCCTTTAAGATTTATTTATTTTTACTTTACTTAAGGTTATGAGAGTCTGCCTGTATGGATGTATATATACTGTGCTCATGCCTGCTGCCTGAGGAGGCCAGGAAGAAAAGAGGAAGCCAAAGACTGAAAATATCTGAGTGCCTGGCTAAGTACTTAATTGCATGTATGAACCAGGAAAGCAATAGGCTAATGCTTGGAAACAGTGAAAGGCCAGGAATAAGATCCCTTTACCATCAGCCAGACGTGAAGCACTGTAGCATAGAGACTGCTGAAAAAAGTCCTCTAAAGACTAACAACTTGGCACTATAGCTAACTTTCAGCACAAGAAATCTATATAAAAGCTTAAAAGTTTATCTCAAAAGGAACACACAGATCATAACTTTGGAGCTTAATGAAACCAAACTCTCTGTAGACTAACAAAACCTAGCTAGCTCTCAATGATATAAAATATCTACTACCTAATTAAAAATTACCAGGTATGAAAGAAGGAAGAAAACATGGCTCATGCCAGAAGAAAAAAAAACAATCGAAACCAAGTAACAGGGATGGCAGAATCAGTAAATCTTAAGAACAGACACACAGCTTGGAAATATGCTCAATGATGTAAAGGCAAGTCTCGATATAATGAGGCATGAAAAGGTGTTTTTTAAAGGTCATGATGGGCTGGGCATGAGAGCACAGACTACAACCCCAACATCTGGCAGGCAGAGACAATGGAGGGGCTGGAGCCTGATAAAGGGCATCTGTGAACAGCCTACAGCTAATATTAATGCAAATGCATGCCCACTAACATTGCTATTCAAAGATATGCTGAGCCACTGTGGTAAGGAAACATTTAAAAAGTCATCGATACTAGAGTAGGAAAAACACTAAAAGTGTCTATTCATCTATACAACCAACTGCTTCCAATATCCTAAGCAATCGATCTGTGAGATGGCTCAGCAGGGGAAAGTGCTTGCTGTGCAAGCCTGAGGACCTGTTAGGGTCTGAGTGACTCCGTGGGTTTCCTGAGAGAACCAAAATGCACGAGCACGGAGATGTAATTCAAGCAAAGTCTTTATTAAGCCAGCTAGCTGAGGTCGACCGTCCTCCCAAGACACACAGGTCTGGTTGGAGCAATCGACCCCAAAGCAACTTCAGGCAAGGATTATATGGGGTTTCCACAGCCGTTGCACCAAAGCATTTCCACAACCAATAGTTTTAAAGCACCTAGCATACTTTAACCAATAGATTTAAAACAAATCAACCCTTCATGTGTGTCATCATCTGGGTGGTATGTGCCAGTTTCCTGACCTCTTCTTGTTATCTCTTACTTACACAAGCATGCCTACGTGACTTATCACGGGTCACGTCCTGGGGCTGCAGCCCACATCCTGTAATCTATCTCTGGGTGCCCTTGTTTCTCAATTTAGCTTTGGGTGGCTGTTTTTCCCAGAACTGGGTGGCCCTTACTCTAGGGTCAAGAAGTTATAAGCAATTAAACTTAAGTATTATTGAATTCTTTCTCTTTAATCTTTGATACCCTTTGCATCACCCCTTACATTTCCCCCCTTTTCTTGATCAGACTGAGGAATCTTCCTCAGCAGTATCTAAGGCTTGATATTTTTGGCGAAGGACCAAGAGTTGGACAGTGTCAAATTTCTCCTGAACAAACCTAAGCAGCCTATTTATTATGCATGGACCAATTGTGACTAATAACAGTAAGATGACTAGTGGCCCTGTGACGGCCAAGAAGAGGGTTGTAAACCATGGTTTATGCTTAAACCAAGACTCGAACCAGCCTTCATTATTTTCATACTCCTTGCGCCTCCTCTCCAGGTCCTTCTTTAACTTGGTCAAGGATTCCCTGATTGCCCCTGTCTTGTCTACATAGAAACAGCATTCTTCTTTCAAAGCTGCGCATAGCCCGCCTTCCTTTCAAAATGGGAGATCCAAGCCTCTTCTGTTTTGCAGCACCACCTCTGACAAGGAAGTGAGAGATTGCTCCAGGTCCAACATCGTCTGCCGGAGCTGTTCTAAGTCCCTGTCGATGGCCAGCCTTAGGGCTGTGAGCCCCTGTTCTCGCGTTACGAGGGCTGCGATTCCTGTCCCTGCTCCGGCCAACCCCATGGAGAAGAGGGTTCCAATGGTTAGGGCAGTGATGGGCTCCCTTTTTTTTCAGAGAGGACTCCATTCTTCCTCCCAATAGGAGAGGAGGGATTCATGAGAGTGGTATGAAAGACGGGGCAGAATGGCCACAAGCACACAAAACTCATTATTAGCATTAAACACAGAGGTGGATAGGGCAGGGGTGAGGCCTGTTTTTGAACAGAGCCACCAGCCCGAAGTGGGTATAATCCACTTCCCCTGCTCCCACAGGGTGTTATTACATGAGGAGCATAACTGGCTCTGGGATGTTGGAACTCTGCCCACACACGTGCCAGAGGCTGAGACCTGGGCAATAGTAAGTCACCACGGTCTCCCGTCCCAATAGGTGGGATGAGAGTTGTTGAGAGTATAAGAACTATTTATCCCGATTGCCTCATAAAAGGGTGGGGATCCTGGGTAGCACAGCCAACAGGGGTCAGTAAGAGAGGGAGTGGTATGATTAAGGGTTTCTACT